AACAATTTTATTGATAATATGTGTAGGGTGACTTAAAGAAAGTGGATAAAAAAGTAGCAACTAAGTCGATCTGACATTAACATTAACGACAAAGAACATTAATAAACTTAATAATAACATAATTACTTGTGGCATCTCGAAAAACCTAAGGAATGCACAAACAATCGAATATTTTTGCAAAATATAACACACTGATTGCAAATAGAATTTAAGAAAAAAACGCTTATTACTTAATTTAGAGAACTTATGTTTGTATGTTTTTCAGACCATTTTCTTCCAAAAAACAGGGAGGATTATAACTATAATATAAAAATTAAAACGCGTTATCGTTTCCGATGAATGAGTCTTTAGTTATTCAGATCGTTCTTTTTCAAAGATCGGTTTTAGTCATTACAACCGCCTTTAGTCGTAAAGTTCTCCACAATGTACTATTTTCAAAATAAAGGTTTTAAAAAATTTTCTAAATAAATATTAGGACATAATAGTAGTTTATGTTGATCATAATTTAATAGAACAAAAAATATATACTCGTATGCTCCAATTGTTATTACTAACGATTACAGTGCGATAATTAAATAAATTATTAGTGAGTTTTAAACAATGATAAAATATTCAATATATTGGTTAAATGCATTATGCAATACGTTTAGAATATGGCGCAAAAACTGAAAAATATTTGTCTATACAATGGAAACATTCTATTAAAAATCTCACTTTATATTTATATAAAGCATACCTACATATGTTTTTCGAAAACTATTTTCAAACCTTAATTGACTTTATCAGAGCCATTAGAGTAGATCATAAACAACAACTAGAAAATATCCTGATTAGCTACTAATTACTTCGCCCCCAGTTACATTTGTTTCGCTCATTGCCTTATTTCTATACTTCTACTTCTACTACTCTAGTAATAAAGCAGTTTAATATTGATATAGATTTATATTTGCCCAAAATGATACAATAAAAACTTTCAAACGTTTGAATAAGTTACCATTGTTTTAGACTTTTCATTGGCTAACAAATCTACTTTTCTCGAGTACTTTGTTTACTATCGGACTGTCGCTTCCAGAAGCTAAATAAAATAACAAGTGATCTCGTAAAATATTTGGCAATACTTTAAAACTTTGGCTACAAATTCAGGTTGGATTTATTAGCTTTTCAGAGCTGCATATTCGTGATCTTGAAAGTTGTTGGACCATTTACTATGTTATTTAACATCAACTAAAGATATAAAAAGCAACTTTCAAAATATAAATTTGAAAATACTTACCATTTGAATAGCAAACGATTAATAACAAAACACTAAGAATCCCATGAATTACAACCATAATTACTATTTCATTTCACTCGATGACAAAGTTCAACAAACACTTCTGCACGAGTAAATTTCTCACCAATTGTTCAAGCTCATTAAGAATAACAAAAGAAGCTTTCTAAATGATTCGGAATTTTCTATCGACTTGAGAGGGAAACTGAGCCAAACTTACGTGCGCATTCGCTTGAATATAGGGTGGAAATAGACGAACATCCTTCAGATCCAGAATAAGAGTCCAACATGGGCAATCGTTGAGGTTAGTGCGCACGCTTTGCAGTTTGCAAATTCTCTCGTCGCAATTGAAATTACTTCTCTGCCAAAAATTACCTGATTTGAATTGTTAAGGGAGCAAGCGTAAATGCCCTGTTCTCCCTATGTTGTTTTCCTATAAATATTTACGTTTCCTTGATTTGCATGATATTAAAACGATTCGGTTTCCACTGAATAACTCTTACTTAATACAAAAAGCCAGCGTTATTAGCATTTTGTACTCACTTTTATTTACATAACGTTTTTTGAAAGGAACAAATTATCACTCGCTGTTTGCCAAATACTGATTTGCTTCTGTAGGAAATGGGATAATTGAAAATAAGGCATCTGTTTTTATTAAAACATGAATCATTCAACAGTAACTGTTTGCAGGATAAAGATAAATCAGTGTTCCGACTTCTAAATTTTACTCGTGCACAAATACAGCCTAGAGAATGTATTAAAGCTGAAAGGAGTTATAGCGGAATATTATCGGGATACAAAGAGTATCACTTTTGATAATCAACCCAAGAAGCAAATTAAAAGAAAGTTTGTTCTCGTACTCAGACAAGCTGGCAAAAATTCGGCATAATATAAGTTAGTTAATGAAATTGGGTCCTTTATGACCAAAAAGTTATCTCATTTCAATTAGCCGCTTCAAAGAAATGGATAAACAAAGAGATGAGAAATGACAAAAATGTTTGTGAAACTTATAAGCCGTGAACCGTTTGAATTGCGACAAAGTTGTCCTCAGCTGCTACTATTATTGCCATAAAATTTTGCCCCACAAAAGAAAAATCGCTCTAACTGTACTTGAGATTGAATTCATTTTACTTATTCATAGCGGAATTGGTGATAAACAATTGTTAAATAAATATATCTAATTGAAATGAAAAAATATCCGGTCCATTTTTTCAACTTTTAAAGTTTTCTGAAAAAATTTTGATTTCTTCAAATGCCGTGAGAATGATACGATAGACTTTGATAAAACGTTGAGTTAACGAAAATGAGTTAGTGAGTGTTTTATTTCAGAAACTACTTGAACTATTTATTTTGACGATGGAATCCACTCACTTTTTATTTTAGGTTGATGCAGAAATCATGAACTGAAATAAATAAAAAATGCAAATTTTTACACTTTTGAACTCTTTGTTATGTCTGCTTCCTTGGCATCTACTAATTTTAGATATTTATTGCAAAAGTCCTTTTACAAAAAAATCTTTGACAAGGGTTTTATAATTACTAACTGACCAACATGGTCAAAGTGTTAGGTCAATCATCCTATTTTGGTCCGAACTGCCTTTTCACGTAGAAACAAACTCACAGCCAATTTTAGTTAAATTGATCTCAGCGCATT